AATTATTCTGATTTCTTCATCGCTAATTTTTATAAGTTGATTTGCAAACGTTAGAGCATTTTTTAGAAAAGTGCAGTGTTTCTTTTCTTTTATGCTTTTGAACCATTTGATGACTTCAGCGGTATTTTTCCACTGGTTTAATTTTAATGCACTTTTTATGTGTTTATTCATCTTATCTAAATAGGTTTTGCTTACAATGCCATGATTTATTTGGCGGCAGGGTTTTATATTTTGAAAATTGATTTTATGGTCCTTCTGAGTGATGAACGCTTATATATATATATATATATATATATATATATATATATATATATATATATATATATATATATATATATATATATATATATATATATATATATACATATATATATATCTATATGTATATATATATATATATATATATATATATATATATATATATATATATATATATATATATATATATATATATATATATATATATATATATATATATATATATATATATATATATATATATATATATATATATATATATATATATATATATATATATATGTATATATATATATTAGTAGAAAATCACTTAGCAAAATTTTTTCTCATTTAACACTGTGTTTCATCAATAAAGACTCATCAGATAAATTGCTCTGTTCTTTTAAGAACATTGAGCACTCTTTTTGTAGAATACATTTTAAATTGTTTATATATATATATATATATATATATATATATATATATATATATATATATATATATATATATATATATATATATATATATATATATATATATATATATATATATATATATATATATATAATATATGTATATATATATATATATATATATATATATATATATATATATATATATATATATATATATATATATATATATATATATATATATATATATATATATATATATATTTAAACAATTTTTGAAAAAATTTTGCAAAAAAAAATCAATTTTTTTTTTCTAAAACTAAAAACACTAATGGTGCCACGCATAAGAAGTTTTATTTGAAATATTGTTTTTTTGGCACAAAGCATGTGTATAAGTTTTCAACATTGTCAAAATCTAATACAAAAAATTCAGTTAATGTGAGTATCATTTTGGAATGACATTTTGGAAAATATGCTAGTTTGATTAATTTAAACGTCGCAAAAATCTTTACTATGGTATTTTAAAACAATGAATTGCAGTTTGTAAATGATACCTACCTGTATCATAAGATATTTGTTTGCTAATTTGAATTTTTATTCTCTAGAAAAATCTCCTCTTTCTTAAAAATACTGTTGTCATTTTGTTGGTTTTTCTAATTAGGTTTTTACTGTTTCAGACAAAGTCCAAAAAAAGTGATTTATATACTGTTAAACCTGTTCTAGCTTCAAAGTTTGATCCGGAGCTCAAACATGGTCTTTATCTCATCACCTTAAGGTTATATTTCTTTCTTCTTTAAAAAAAATCTGGATGCTGCTTAAATGAGTTTTTTTTTATTTTTCTGGCAATCGTAAGTTAATATTTCATAACTTCATATTTAGCAAAGTTGTATTCTTTTAGTGTAAATTTTGCCCTGTAAATCTGTTTATATTTTTTTATTTGTTTATATTTTTTTTGTAAAATTAGTGGTATGAAATTTTCTCTAGTTTTTATGTTTCTTTGACACATACAATTTGCTTACTGTTTGTCAAAAATTTGTTTGTTTAAAGTTTTTCAAAAAATAGTTTTAAAAGTATTTTAAACAAACTTCCTTTGCAACTGTAGTAGTAATATTTAGCTTTGGAAAAGTAACAACTTAAAATATAAAGTATATAAAGTTTATAAATTTTATAAAATTTTTTTTAGCTAATTAAACTGACTTAATGAGTGAATAAAGGCTGTCTAGTTAAAAGTGAATTTATTTTTAAAAAATGTCAGTTAATTTTTTTTTTTGGCTTTTATTATTAAAAACTTTTAAAAAATTTATGAAAAACAAATAATGCTATCACAAGTAACAAATGCTTTGCATCAGAGCAACTTTCAAAAATTCTCGGTCATTTGATAACAATTTTTAATGAAGCTTTTAATAAAGCTAATAATCAGTTGATTTACATATTATCTTATGTTTTATATAAAAATAATATCTGATTTCAACATATTGACTTTGGCTAATGTCTTAGTAATTATATGTTTATTTAGATCCATGTTATTATAAGAATTGCTTCTCTTCAAGCTTTTGCAGTGTGGTGTCAGGATATGCTGTTTGCTCATGTCCAACGGGATTTAAACTGCAGTCTGATGGTACAACATGTACACAGGGTATTTTGTGGTTTCTTATGTTTTATATAAAAATAATATATGATGACAACATATTGATTTTGTCTGATCACTTAGTAATAATATTTTTATTTAGATCCATGTGATTATAAAAATTGCTTCTCTTCAAGTTTTTGCAGCGAGGTCTCAGGATATGCAGTTTGCTCATGTCCAACAGGATTAAAACTGCAGTCTGATGGTACAACATGTGCACAGGGTATTTTATAGTTTCTGATGTTTTATATAAAGGTAATAATGAATGTATGATAACAGGTTACTTTGTGTAAACACTTTTTAATGATATTTAATGTTTGATCTATGCATCCATGCACAGGGTATTTTATAGTTTCTGATGTTTTATATAAAGATAATAATGACAGGATACTTTGTGTAATCAACTTTTATTGATATTTTTTGTTTGATCCATTTTATTTTAAAAATTGAACAAAATTTTAAATAAAATAGTATTGCAAAATTTTAAATGTGCTTAACAAAAAGTAAAAGCAATATTTGTTTTTAATAACTTTTAGAGTAAAAACATTCCTTTTTAACTATTTAGTTGAAAAAAAAAGAATTACATAAATGGTTCGATACTATCCTTTTTTTATTTATATCATGAAAAAAAATATATTTTTAAAAATTATAATCAAAAAAGCTTATGTACCTATACATTTAACCCTTGTACATTTTTTAAGTTAGTTCTTAATTTAAATTGATTTCTCGTTATTTAATAAATTATTGTATTATAAAATGTCCATAAATATGAGAAACTAGTTACATTTTCATATAGATCCATGCTATTATAAGAATTGCTACGCTTTTTATTATTGCATGTCCAATTGGATTTAGGCTGCAGTCCGATGGCATAACATGTTTACAGGATTTTTTTTTATTTTTTATATAAGTTTTAATAATATAAACATATTTTAGTGTCTTAATTTTAATACTTTTTGTATAAAATGTTTTTATAAAGTTTATATTCTATAAAAACAATAACTTGGTGCAACCCTTCATAATGATATTTTTATATAGATCCATGTTATTATAAAAGTTGTTTCAGTTCAAATTATTGCAGGATATGTTGTGTGCTGTTATTGCTAACAATGTGTTAATTTTCTATGAAAACAACACACTGATAATGGACGCTGTTTTCATAGAGATTTATGTTAATTAGTTTATGATGCCTTTAAATGCTGTGTTCCGAACTGTTGCTCAAGTTATAAGTCTTTAGATCGTAATATATCTCAATGCAAATTTTCTCGTGAAGTATTCGACAAAAACAAGTGGTTTATGAGTATTTCTTGTTCAGAACTGGACTTTTACAAAATATAGTGTTGTTTGTAACTTGTATTGGCCAGATGATTCTGAGTTTATTTTAAATTGTGGTGAATTAAAACCGATTTATCCTTGAACAGCGTTTCCAAATATCCTTAAAATTGTCAAACCACTTTACTTTAAAAAATAAGAAAAACTTAATCGTCTTTAAAAACAGGTATCAAAATAAATGAAGTAAAAGAGTATAAATAGTTGAGAATTCAAAATTTTAGGATTTTGCAAGAGACTTATCTTCTAAAAATGATATGATTACTTAAAACCAAAACCATTTTGTTATTATTCATTCTAAAGTATTTAATTGTGAAGTTCAACTATTATGGATGGTAATTAATCAAAGCCTAATGTTTGAAGCATTTCATTATGTTTTAAAATATACAGTTAAACCTCTTTCGAAAAGTCAACTTTAAATGAAGCTCTTAGGTATCTAAAAGGTAAATATAAGAACCATAAACTCAAGTATTGTTTGAGCTCCTAAATGTAATGGGAGATTATTCTATCAGCTATACTGTTTATTGTCCTGATATAATATGACAAGGCTTTTTAATTTTTTGCAACAAGTTGTTCTAACTACTATCAATTGTGTTGTAATTATCAGTTGCCAAGTATTTCAACTTTAACTCGTATAACTTTCAAAATAAATACTCAAGATGATTAAGTTTTTTTAACTTCTGCGTTATCAAATCTTGTTGAAAAAAAATTGTCTTTTATTAATACATAAAAATTATGTAAAAGCTGCTTTATCTATAAAAATGAAAATACTTTTAGAAAAGCTGTTAAATATCCAGAAAAATAAGCTACTGTACTTTAGTCTATGGTCAAAAGTCTATATAATATGAAATTACTAACATAGAAAAATGGAGAGATTTAGTTAACTTATATACACTTAAAATAAAATTGATTGTAAAAGTTATCTAGGTAAAATAAATCATCAATAAATCATAAACCAATATAATGGTAAAATGTAGGTTATGACTAAATACTTGTTCACAAGTATTTAGTGATGAGACTGTTGCAGTTTTAAAAATTTATCGTATATGAGACCAATAAAGAACCAAGGGTACTATTATTTTTTATATTCAGATGGGGTTAACTTAAAAAAATTGGTTGTTGTACAACAATCGCTCAAAGTATAAAACCATGATTTTGTAAACAAGTTTGTTAGCTTACAAGAGATACCATTAGTTCACTTTCACATAATTCTAATTGTCTAATTGATTAGTCTCACCTTTTTTTAATAATCGGAAATTATTATTTTATTTTATGTTGGTTTTCTACAGATTTGAATAAAAAATTGTTTGGAAAATTAGATCAAGGATCAGGTGGTACTTATTTTATAACCGCTAAGTTAGTTATTGAAAAAGTGTTTAACATGATTAGCTGGTGTTACAGCTTAGTATTGACGCAGAAAGAAATGATGGTCATAACTGTCTATTATGTCTTAAAGATTTATAGGAATTTAACATTATTTACAATTTAGCAGATCTAGAAAATAATAAAACTGTAGAAATTTTATATTTTATTGTCTACATTGCTCGCTATGTTCCACTGAAGAAATTATTTATGTTATACTGTAAAAATTATGGAATTTATTTAGTTACGTTATATAGTCGAAAACCAAATATTGTATCTGACATTTTATTTTAATGGTCTTCATTTAGCGACATATTTTTTTCTTTAAAAGAGTTTGCAGAACATTTCTGATTTAACAGTTAACATTTATTGCAAAGTTTTTCAAATTTTTTATTTCATAGAAACAATGCCAAACACTGACAATTTTTTAATGACATTACTTTACTCTCGCAAAAGTATTAGTGAAACTAAATTTAAAGAATTAAGTTTATGTAAACGTTTTTTTTTTTTCTATTTAGTACAAAATAAATAATATATCGTCTCTTTTTCACCTTATTATTTCTTTTAAATGAAATCTCAGATGAAAAAGTTTTTATTTAACTTTATAAGCATTTTTAAAAAAAACTTTAATATAACAAAAAATATTAAAAAGTTATTAATTAACCTCAACAAACTAATTATGAAATAATATATTACGAATTTTTTCAAACAGACTGGTAAATATTTGTATATTTAATCTTAGCAAATCAGTAACTTTTACTAATCCGCAATTTTTTTTTTTTTTTTTTTTTTACATAGGCCTTCTTAAAAAAAATTCCCGCACGATGTCGAGGTCTTCTCTAAAGAAAGCCTCAGTTATTTATGAAAAAGTACATTTACAAAATTTATCATGGAGGTTTGCGTATAAATAAAAAAAAAAAAAAATTATACTCAATTTTTAAAACATTGTGCTTAGAAAAACAATTTTTTTTTTTTTATAACTCAATACCTCCTCTTATATTTAATAAAAATTTATTATCAATTAACAAACATAAATTTTTGTTATGATCATTTTAAATTAGATAAAAAGTTAATATCTGAAATTTTGAATTAGAATACTTATTTTGCATAATTGTATTCATCTTTCTAAAAAAATATTCAGGCACTTGTTATAAGCCTTTTTTTTCGTTTGAACTTAAATCATTCATAAAAAAAATTATTAACGACAGGCTTTTGAAAACTTAGAGCATGTTAGACTGAAAGTCAAAATTTAAACAAATACCTTTTCATTGTTTAAGTTTTCATGTTTAACATGGAACTAACATTTAGGTTGTTCGGGAAATATTTAGGTGATTGAGATAACTTTCGGCTTTACAAATGATGCAAGTATTTGTTGTACTTGCATGAGTTTCTGATTGTTGCTTTTTATTTTTAAGGTGCTGCATTTTTAACGGTTATTAAAAATTTATAAAACCAATACCAATATGAGACACTATATGCATTTGTATTAGACATCACTAACATGGTTTTGTCTTTAATGTTGTATTACTTATTTACAATAAATTAATATAGTCAATATAGTTTTGATAGTTTTAACTACAAACAATGCTGGACCTATGATAATTGTTATTTATTTTATGTTGTAAAATTTAATTACAAGTTTTTTTATTGCAGATAGTTTTGAACCTATGGTAAATCAGACAAAATTTTATTTTGATTTTAGTAATGATTATGTTTTTACAGAAGTAATTCCTGAAAAATATTCAATGAATATTTACAATAAAAATCCAATAGAGTTCTCAATAAATTCAATAAAAGCCTTTAGTGTTTAAAGTGATGATGTTGTTTTTACCTCTAACTGTTCAAAGATGTTAGGCGATTTTAAATTATGATTATAAATATGGAAGTAAAAGAACTAACAAGGATTTTATAAGACCATATCAAAAGGATAATGTCACTAAAACATTCGTTTAGTCACTTTTTTGTCTACCAAAACGAAATTTATTTTATCTTTTCTTAACCACTAACTACAAAATTTAAGATTCTTATGAACTTAAAATTTTTATACATAATCAAAGATTCAAATTATCCTTTTTCCTTTTGTGTAAAAATCCTTCTGTGCTAACTGAAGTTACGGAAATAGGTATGATTTTGCGTTTTAAAGCTAGGGTCATAATTGATAATTACGGACTTTTAATTTCATCATCTAATTTCTTAAAAGCATCTGATTCGTTAATTACTACAAATCCGGAACCTTTATCAAACGGGTAAAATCTTAGAGCGTCTTTATTCTTTTTTAGATTATTTAAGGCGAACCTTTGTTGCCTTGTGAGATTGTCTGGTAATTTCCTTTTTAGAGAACTTGTCAAGATTTTACTAATATTTTGTCGTATATTCTTTGCGTCAGCATTTTTGTTTTGTTTTTCCAAATGCAAAGCAAACGACTTAATCGGGGTTAACAGTTCCATAAAAGGTACTTTTTTATATGAAGGTGCAAAATTTGGCCCCAAGTCCAACAGTGTGACTGTAGAAGAGTCTAACGGTGTTTGAGTA